AGCATTGCACTCGTATTGGCTCTTGTTTTGGACAGTTTTCGAGATGCTTAAGAAGTAAACCAATTGTTTAAAACCCAAATCCAATCCAAAGAAAAAACGTGTCCAACAAAACACATACCCCTCTCTCTCTCTCTCTCCACTAATTGGTATTGTATTTTGTTGTTTAGGACAACGACTGGAGGGTTCGGGAGGCGACACACAAAGCGCACGAACAGTTGGCCCACAAAGTTGGCCGAAACATAGCGCCATTCCTAAAGCAATTGATGCCCGTATGGCTGACGAGTCAATACGATGGCTACAGTCCGGCGGCCACCGCCGCCACCCGTGCCTTCAATACCGCATTTCCGGCCACAAAGAAGACCGACGTATTGGCCTTCACTAAAGAGCCCGTCATTAATGTAATGAATATTGTTTTTTATGCATTGATTTAATTGATTTTGTGTTACTTTTTTAGTACATAAAAGACATGGTATTAAATCAGACCATCGATACCACAGGAGATCAAACGTATGAAACATATTTGTTTGTGATTTAGTTTTACTTATAGCGAAGTTGTGATTAGTTTACTAAATAGTAAAATGTTTTTAATTTACTTTTTTTTTGCACTCCAGAGCCACAGCCGACGAAAATAAATGCAAATACAATCGACTTATAGCCAACTCTATGCAAGGCTTGACAGCGCTGATGGCGGCACTGCCCGCCGATTTGTTGGCCGCCGATGACGACCCGTTTTACACTAGTCTTAAAGAGTTAATCAATAACAATAAGTTTTGGAAGTTTGCTAAATATCCGGATTCATTGGTAAGCGAACTGTTAATCCATTGATTTACTTATATTTGTAAACAACATTAAAAATGCCATTTCAATAGATAAGGAGCGCGTGGTTTACGCTGATGTCGACCGTAGCCCAGCGTACGGCCGACCTGTTCCGGGCGAACGCCCAGAAGATTTGCGGCCTAACGCTCGGCGCGCTCGACGAGAAGGACGTGTTGGTCGCACCGGCTCTATGGGAGTGCGCTCTACACACTGTCAACACTATTGAGGTATTGAATTTGTGCGGCTTTGAAAGTGCATTCAATTGTTTTAATAGTCTTTTAATTAACCAATTTGTTTATGGCTTTTGCAGGACAGCTGGAAGTGCGTCAACTTTCGCAAAGCGTTTTGCCCCCAATTGCGGGCCATTGTCCGTGAGGGTGGCCGCGGCAACGCTTCCGCCCTGTTTCCCAATCTGTTGCCACTTCTCAGTCGTATACCACACGAGTCCGCCGACGCGTTCGTTGAGTTTCACACAGAGTTTTATGGCTTCATGAGAGAGGGGTATGTGTTTTGTTGGACAGGATTTTTTTGTGGATTGAATTTGGGTTTTTAACAATTGGTTTACTTCTTAAGCATCTCGAAAACTGTCCAAAACAAGAGCCAATACGAGTGCAACGCTGTGGTGAAGGCGTCAATGGAGTGTTTGCGGTACTCGATGTTCAACTCTACCGCCACTCTGGCCGCCGATACAGAACAGCGGCAACAGTTCCGGACGCAACTCATCCGCGAACACGTCTGTTGTCATTGAATTTGGTCTCAATTACGGTCTTAATTATGATATTTATGTTTTGCCTGTGATTTAGTTGTTGACACTCGTGGCCGACGCCATCACAGGCGCCAGTGATATGCTGTCTAAGTCGTCGCTTTTCACCGATTTGGGCCAACTTTGGCTGTATTTACGTAAAGAAGATAATTATCAAGACTTGATTCCTATAATTAACGCCGAATTAACGCATATATGTCTAAATCAAATTGTATCAAACAATATGTCGAATTCACCGATTTGGGCCAACTTTGGCTGTATTTACGTAAAGAAGATAATTATCAAGACTTGATTCCTATAATTAACGCCGAATTAACGCATATATGTCTAAATCAAATTGTATCAAACAATATGTCGACATTTTGCCGTATTTCCCGACTCTTTACGTGTCTGTTCTGTGATCCAAATCGTGTGATCAGTAATAAAACCATACGTTTTCGGCGCGAAAGTGACGCCGAAGTGACCGACAAATTAGCAAAGACTTTACGCCTTAACGTATTGATGGCCAACGAGTCGATCCGCGATGTCCTCAACGAATGCACGGCTAAACTCATAGATATTTATCACAATAACACTCATAAGTATCACGTATTGGAACTGCTGTACGATCTGCTAAGACTGCAGTCCAACGAGACGTTTGCCGTGTTTTTGACAAATTGTATAAAAGTAGATAATTTTGAGACATTTTGGACCAATTATATGAAAGTTTGGCTCAAGAATCAAAGCCTAAGCGTACCGTCGAGTGAGAAGTTGTCGCAAACAAAGACTTTAATCGATATGACCATCGCTTTGATGGAACTGATTGCCGACAATGAGACCAGATTTAAGATATTGAACGACATTTGTTTGCTATCCGACCCGTATATCATCGAAAGGGTAATATCGATCGCAACGACCAAAACGGGCGACAATTATCTGCACCAATGGCTGAAGAGTGAGAGCGCCGGGCGGGCGCTCATCGCCCAGACATCGTTGCTAATACACGCCAGCATTGAGTCGTCTGCGGGCCCATCGGCCCAACGAGATCTCGATATACTTTGGCGGCTAATCAGCCACTGTTTTGCCGACAACTCATTCAACCGCGAGTACATCGAAGAGGTGATCGACAAGTTTCGGGTGGCCTTTCAGGACAGTTGCCGATCGCCGGCCACCGCTGACCATCTGTTGGACTTCACGTGTCGTCTGGCGTCTCAACTGTTCACCAGTTATGAGTTGTGCACCGAATTGTCGTCGGCTCGCGATCTACTGCTCACCATATTCTCGATGAACTGTCGCGTCGACGACCCGAGCGGACAGCTCCGCACGGCCTGGCGTTGCGGTGTGGCTAACATTGTCCGCTCAAACGGCGCCTATTTGGCCGACGACGGCATTATCGCCCGTTTGGCCCTTCAGATCAGGTCACGACTTCAGACAAACATCGCTTCTATTGAAAAGTATGTTTATTTTGTTGTGATTTTTAGTTTTTAATCGCTGTGTTATCGCTAGTGCTGAGCTCACCTACCGGTGCGCCTTTGACCTCTTAAACACCATTTACGAGACAATTAACGCCTCTCTGGACACGGATGACGACGAAGAGAAGAAATCACTGCTTTCTGATCCCAACACAGCGCTGCTCTTGGAGTTAATGCTATTAACGGATACCGAATGGCGTGAATTGCACCACAAATGCGACACATCTGTACACCATTACGATTGGCTCACGAGTGACACCCTATTTGATCCCGCGGTGAGCGAAATGCTGACCACCAAGTCGTTGGACACCACTGGTCAGCAGTTTGTCTTCTCGGCCGTCGCGTCCGTTACTCTCATTGAAAAACTACTGGAAACTCATTCGCAGACCGAACTCAGCGGTGATTTATCGCAAACAATTGTCTCGCAATTGAAGCACGTATTCGTTGCCAGCGCTTATGTGTCGCTGAAGTCCAAGTCTAGTCCGAAGTCGACCTGTTTTTCGAGATATAGTAATATTTTTACCGAAAGTCTGACCACTGTTTTACGTTTGACTGAATCCAGTGATTTGAGGGCAAAAGTTGGCGATGTTTTGTTGAAAAAGTATGTGTTTATTGATTACTTGAGTGATTATGTAATTAATGGTTAATTTTGTCACACCTTTAGATCCATTGATGATAATGGACTCAATAGACTAGCATTCGCTCATTATATCGACTGTTTTATTGAAAAAGATCCAGAATTTGGATACGAATTTTCGTTTGAAAAGTAAATATTCATTACATTTGAGTAGAAAATTGTAGTTAAATTTAATTTATAAACTATTTTTCAGTCAAAATTACAACAAAATCGTAACGTTTCAAAAGTATTCGCAAATTTTACACCAAAACTTTCTGAACGACCATTTGGTTCAATCGGTAAACGCTTTTGTCTGTTGCGAGCGATTCATACAACTGGACGATGGGATCGGGAAACTGGCGGCCATTCACTCGTGTCTGAAACACATCGAACCGGTGGACGAGTTGACACACATCGCCGAAACGGTTACAACGATTATGGAAGCGTTTTGCGGCCTTAAGGCCCAAAACTCTGGTCTCTTTTATTACAAAAAGTAATCAAATATTTGCAGTAATTAATTGAGTGAACGATTATTTTACTCATATTTTATGTCTTATTTAGCGATATCACCGCAGACTCTGACCTACAGTTTTATAGCCTTATAATACAGACATTTACCGTAATTGTGAACAAATTTTGTGATAAACTGACGCAAAATCACTGGGATTTGATGATATGTTCGGCTACTTCTTGGCTTATGGTATATATTTCTTGTAGACTAGTCTTTGCAAATGTTTTGTTATTAAAATTAATTGCATTTTTATTATAAAACAGAATATAATAAACCAAAAGGAAAAGCTATTGACGAGTCTAGCGGTCAATCTATTCGCCGCAAAAGTGTTTAATTTAATTGAAGCCATTTGTCGGGCGTTTAGCGACCGAATTGGAACCGCTTTGGCCGATAAGTATCCGCCGAATCTTGTGGTCGAATGGAATGAATTTCATTCGCATAATATCTTTTTGATGATAATTCCCTACTATTTGGAAACTTGTGGTCAGTTTTTTTTGTGATAATTGTGTTGTTATTTTTAGTTTTATCTAAACTTTTATTTTTACTCTCGTTTTTAGGCAAAGAACTCGACTTTTATGGCGATATTCTGATGAATCACTTGTCGAAGACTGTGTCACTGTTTCCCGATTCTGTGATAAGCGAACTGTTACCACAGTTGCCAACCAAAGAGCCGCTAACAGGTCAGACGGTGACCAAATCGTCGTACGATTATCTCGGTTTACCACAAGAGCGGGAGAACTGTTTCAACACATTGTGTCCGCTTGTGGTCAGTCCGCGGCACTCGATAGCGCTTTCATCGCATCGATTGATAATTAGGTATATTCTTAGCGCTAATAATTCATTGCTTTATTGTCTAACTTTTGTTGACATTCTGTTACCACAGACTAATACCATCCCTCATGAGTGACGCCACGCTATCAGCGGAACAGTTGGACAGAGAAGAGGAAGAGATACTATTGTATGTATATATTGTTTAACACAAATCTTTGATGTAGTTTTCTAACAATATGTGACCGTTAAGATCGCCACCGAAGACATTGCTATCACTACTGGAACAAATGGACGGCATTATCGATACAATGCTTAGCGAGTACTGTATCGGCGACTGTATCTGCGCTGTGGAAGCGGACACCGACTCATACACCTATACGTTGGCCTATTTGTTGATTTGGGGCCAAATACTGGACATTTTTGGCAACCTTTCCGAAGAGTCGCGGCCGCAGTTCACGGCATTCCTCCGCCAGTCGTCGTATTTGTCGCGTCTGTTGGAGAATCTGTTCCGATTGATGCCACTGTCGGCCACCGACGCCCACAATATAGACACCGAGTCGTGGCTGACCAGCGATTGGACCGAACGCCTGCTGGACGAGCCGCGGCTCGACTCCCACCACATTCAACGCGTGTCCGCATATCTGTATTATCTAATACTGCGCCGATTGCCGGCGTCGGTGAGGCAGTGGTGGAACAACTGCGACCGCCGCACCTCCGAAGTGGTCAACAAGTATACGGCCGGCTATTTCAGTGGCGTTCTGTGCGGACAAGAGTTGGAAGCCGTCCAGAAGGCGGACGCGAAACAGTTTGGCCAGAATATGGAGGTGAAGGCCCGGTTGGCGGCCCGCGAAGTGGTGGCCAATTACGCGATTGAAGAGATCCGCATTGAGTTGACGATACAGTTGCCGACGAATCACCCGTTGGGACCCGTTTCGGTGGACGGCGGCCGTCGGGTGGGCGTCACCCAAAACCAGTGGCGTAATTGGCTGCTCCAGTTGACCACATTCCTCACCCATCAGGTTAGCACTGGTCAGGGCTTGTGGTGACCATAGGTTCAACTTTTTTTGTTTGTTTGACTGACAGAACGGCTCAATACTTGACGGTCTGATCCTCTGGAAGAAGAATATCGACAAACGCTTCGAAGGCGTCGACGAGTGTATGATCTGTTTCTCCGTACTTCACGGCCAGACGTGTCAACTGCCGCGCCTTCAGTGCAAGTACTGTAAAAAGCGATACCATTCCGCGTGTTTGGTATGTATTGTCCAACTCTTTGGATCAAATTGTTTATTCATTTTTCATAATTATATATCACATAAAAATTTAATGTTTTATAAAACAAACAGAATTTTATAAATTAATTTAATTAATTAATTGATTGTTTGATTTTGTGTTTGTATTGCAGTACCGGTGGTTCAACACCTCCCACAACAGCACCTGTCCGTTGTGTCGGAACCTGTTTTGAACGACAATATCAGTCGGACTTTGTTAACCATAATATGTCTGTTATTATAATTGTATAATGTATTAGTAAATTGTGGGTTTGATTTTGATCGGGGTATTTGTATCGGAGCCTAAAATTGCAATTGTTTTTCCACAAAACATTTTGTGGAGTATTTTGTACTTTAAATATGTTTTTTTGTCCGTTTTTTTTCGGTATAAATATTTTTAAATTAATTGTTTTGTTGTTTTTTATGATTAAACGCATAGTTATATATACAGACAGTACACCTGTTATAGTGAACACCAAATAGTGTGTAAGTGTTGTCCCTATATATAGTGTACGGAATTTGTTATACATTGTTTCGATTCATTATTTCAATGAGTGTTTGTTTTTTTATACACAGAATTTCATAAAAATTTTAACAAATTATTTTATTTTAAATAATAAACGCAAACATAAAAGAAAAACACATTTAAAAACTTAATTTAAAAAGTAATTAATGCATCGGAATGTATGGCCGAGTAATACAACAACGAGTTTGGCTTTTATTGCATATTAAACAGTATTTATACGGGGAATGAGAGGGGGTGTGGGAGCGGCCGGCGGAGGCCCAGTCCGATGGGTCTCTCCGGTATGTTATGTAAGTATAAGTGTGTGTTTAAGACTGTGTGACCCCTTTGCGGGCGATCAACATATTAAGTATGGGATGTTTTTTGATGTACTCGACCGCTTTTTTATGCGTCACCATGGTGAAGTCGTAGCCATTGCACTGTAGTATTTTGTCACCCATACGCAGACCGCAGCTCCAGGCGGGCCCCTCTGGGCTCACGTCTGTCACGTAAATACCCTGTTTGAAAAAAATACAATACAATTAATTGCCTTAACACTCATTAAGACCCTGGAAACGCTGGAATAACGGCATTTCCCTATATCTAACCCGACCCACACCTCCCCAATGGGGTGCGGAGAGGGTGGGCAGGGGTTGAACCGATTGATACTTACGTTATCTGTGAAGGCCTGCGGACTCTGTCTGAAGTCTTGGTCAATACCGCCGCCAATCTTGAAGCCACACTTCAGTAACTCTCGACCCGACTCGTCATAACTGATCTCTTTTGTCAGTTTTAAGGGTATCTAAAAATAATGGGTATTTTAAAAATATTTATAAATTAATTGGCATTAGCAGACTTGCATTAGCAAGGTGATTTGTTTAGTTTGTAAACTACAACCCCTTATAAATTAATATTTCATATACATAACATAATTTCAGGTAATCATGTTAGTTAAGTCATATCGACTATATATTTAATAACTACTATTTGTAATAATATTTGTCAAATATTTATTTTATTTAATGTAAAATTTTAATTAAAATAAATTGTGAATTAAAACTAATTTATAATATTTAATTAACAATGTCATATAAATAATTTAACCATGTTTACTTACGGACAAACATTCAATAGCGGTGCCGGCCTTGTGTTCAAACGTGGACATTGTTGTGCTGGGCGTGTGTATGGGTGGGGGAGGCCCGGGGTCTATATAAGTACCTAGGTTATAAATATATTGCCACCTTGGTAGATTATAGTCAAAATTAATGACAATGTTTTTGTATATTTTATAGACTGTAATGTTTTTGACACATCAAATAACAGCGGTTCACACATACAGTACGTGATGCATATTAAGGGGTGGGGGCTTTAGCTTACAGTGTTTTTGTATAGCAATCTAATGGCTGAGAATTTGGGGTTAGTTTTGTGGTGTTTATTATTAAACGTTACGTATGTATTGAGTGTTGAATTTCATGCGATAATTGTTTTGACAGTTTTTTTGCTATAAATATCTGAACGCGAAATGAATAACGTTTGAAATGAATGGACAAAAGTTTTATAAACTTTTTGCATTTCTATTACCCGTAAATTTAATTTAAAATCCAATTTACTTTAAATTATTTAATTGAATTTGAATAATGTCAAATAGGTAAAATTATAAAAATGTATGTTTTTATATAAATTCCTGATATTTTTACAGTTAATTAAAATAAAACATGTTCAGTTTTCCAATATTATAGCATATTATTATAGCATCCAATATAATATCTCATATTTATATGTAAGGTTCATCGTTTCCCTCCCATATCTTATATCTTCCCGGAAAATAAGGAATCTTCCTTACTTCCCTTATCTTCCTCAAAAATGGGAAA